CTCTCTTTCTCCCTATTTCTCTCTTTCTCTTCCTTTCTCCTTTTTCACTATCTTCCATTGCACACACACACACACACACACCCACACCCACACATACACGCGTGCGCGCGCGCGCGCACGCACACACACACACACGTACACATCTTCTCAGTCAAAAAGGAAGGATCGGTGGAAGTTTCCAGTAAGTTGGGAGGAAGCTGATTTGGTCCACTGGAGCGATGCGTTCATCAATTGAAAGTTTCCCACAAGTTTCCCATACGCCTACCTTGACATATAATTGTTCTCTTTGCAAACGCCAGCACTATGGGAAAAAGCAGTTGTTCGAAAGTGAAAGAAGATGTATGACCCAGCCGTTGATAATTGTTTTTCTTTGTGCATGCATACTGACTGCTCGCAAAAAGCTCCGCGAAGATTAGTGTCCGCTTCTTCCGAATGCTTTAAGGGGGCCATAATCAACTTCCAGCAAGCTACGTGGTCGCTTATGTTAGACTTAAAATACTTTTCCAGTTTACCGGACACTTAAACGCATGCTTGCCGAAAGCTCGCCGGGAGCTTCATTTTCAACTGGGTTCATAATCGATCTCACAGCATGTGAAAATTTATGAATTTTACGTTTACCGTAACACGTTTTTCGGTAAGTTCGAGATGATATCTATGTATGTGAACGAATGAATAAATCGAGTTTCGATTTTTATAAAACTTTGTCCAGAAAATCGTAGATATTCGGTGTAAAACGTTCTAGTGCTTAAACGTATAACGATTAAATATAGCGACTGCCAATCATTTCTAGGAAGGTATGTTCTCCTCTTAAACCGGGAAAGTCTTGCTTGTCCCCCCGTCATCGTCGTTACCTTTAACTTCTACCTGACGTGCATATCCGACGGGCGGAGTTACCGAGAGTTTCGTCGGACAGCTGATTAATGCATCGATGTGTGATTACATTTACTCGAAAGCATCGTAGCAACGCGTTGTGAATGCGAAGGAAGTTAACAGGGCGAACTTCGTTCCTCGCGAGATTTTCCATGGCGTGAATGTTTCACTGCGTCTGCGAGAAAAGCCGATTAATATTCAGCACCCGATCTCCGGACGCTAAGCCTTTATATGATAAAATTCTGCACGTATGATTTCCTTGCGAAATTTAATTCAACCAATTTATCAAGGCAGAACTCTGTTACCGAGATATGCCCATTCGCTCCGAAAATATGAAAATTCATCAATGTGAAATAAAGTCAAAGCAATTGGAAATTCTCTCTCTCTCTTTCTCTCTCTCTCTCTCTCTCTCTCTCTCTTCTACACACACACAGATCTCTTATAAAATATATTTCGGAAAATGTACAGAACAATATGCGAAAAAATGTTTCTCTCAAAAAACAAAAACATGTGTGTTTATATTTATTAATAAATCACGAGAATTTTTAATGTTTATGAAGAGTCCGAATAAGAGCTTTCCGATACGTTGCCATAAAAAGCATAAATTGTCCTTTTCGCAGCAATCACTGACAGAGAGAGAGACAGAGGAGCAGAGAGAGAGAGAGAGAGAGAGAAGGGGGAAAGAGAAGAGAGAGAAATTTTGTTCTGAGCGTGTCGGTTTTTATTTTCCTCTCGCCAAATTTTAATCGATGCGGATAAATATGCATAAAGGATTTAGAGATGTCTATGAAGAACTCTCATCTATTCGATAATACAACACCGAAAAAATCAGTCTTCTTCGAAATATTTCGAAATAAGATCGTTCGTGTTTAATTTCCGTAATATGTTAAACGATTATCTCCAGAGAACTCTTCTCAAAGAAAGTGCATTGAATTTTGTCGCAGACATTTAACTCGATTTAATGATATTATTTATTCAAACCAGACAGGGTCCTTTAAGGAATCTCTTTAGGAAGAAGATTCTTTAAGGAAATGGCGATTAAATGTAGCAGCGCATGCTCTCTATTTACTTAATTTCTAAAACGTTTCTCGACGCTCGAAATGACACGTTTAAATGTCTAGCTGACGTTAAATATCTGTTTTTGCTTTTCCAAACTGCGGATGAGAGCGAAGAAATAAAAAAAAATGCAGAATGCGACATAAGAATGACTTTTTTGTCATAATATACTATTTCGTCGAAAGCTCCAGCAATTTTCACCGAATTCGAATTTGATTAAACGTTCTTATATCAGTCTAGCACAGTCGCCGTATTTTCGCCATATTTTTGTGTGAAAATATAAGCTTAATAGTCTGTGCATTCCATGGCAGATTAATTGAAATTCGTAAAATTGACCACGCGCATCGAAGTTATCCTCGTTAGCAAGCTCGTTTAAAAAGTTCTAATTAAATGAAACGGCGAGCACGGGACTTCGCTCTTTGCAAAATTTCGTCACTGCGCGAAATCGCATCCGCCTCTGAAATTCGATATATAGAATTCCGGAAGTCAGTGAACAAGGATACCGTGCGACAAATTAAATTTAAGCGCATCTCTGTTATTATTCGTGAGCTTTCAATGGAATTTCCCGGCATCGCGCTCGCGAAAAAAAGCATAAATGCGTTTGTATTCCACTATTTAAAAATAACGAATTTAATTTTGACATGTTATTCGAACTCCCTTTACACACATATACATATACACGCGCATATCCTCCCCTTCTCTCTCTTTCTCACTTAAATTTCATTTTATTAATTTGCTGGAAAATTGCTCGATAGCAAATTCAATTTAACAGCGATCAATTTCAACCGGGTGGCACGGTAAAATTCTAATTTCGGCACGTATTACGCGCGGGGACTCTTTCCCCCCCATCTTTTCCCATCCGGCGAAACATTCTCGTTCCAGCGAAAATTCCTCGAAATGTAAGTAAATTAGTTGTCCCAGAGCGAGATAAAATATTGTTATATGCGAAACTCGAGGATGTATTTCGAGTTATCTCGACGGCGAAGCTTAAAGGACATGACGAAGCTCTATATCCTCTCGTGAGTCACCAGACTGGAAGGCAAACACTGTTCATCCGTGAATCGTATCGTGATTACGGCGACGGAAAGGAAACCAGTTTCCTCGTTGCTGAGTACTTTTCACGATGAAAAGGTCGGCTTCCAGGGCGGCGCAAGGAGGCTTTCCCGGGCGCATTCTTCCGTCACATCCGCCGCTTTTATTATAACTCGTCATTAATCCATCAACTCGCTCCGCATGATTCGCGAATTTCATTTATACGAGGTTTCGCCGAAATAATAATATCCAGAGTGTTCCAGCCGCGAAAGCAACAACAGTCGATCGGTCCGTCATTCAATGCTCCATTTATCCATCGACCCACTGAACTGTCGATTGCTCGAGAGGACGAAGCCACACACACAGCTCGAATCACGATCCTGAAGACATCTTTAAAAAGTAACTACTTTCACAGGTTTTTGCCCCTTAGTGTTTTAGTTGCGCCATATAATATGCATATATCTACCCGTGTGTTGTGTCTCATGTGTGTGTGTGTATATATATTTATTTATATATTTATATATACGCATATGTATATAACTGCACGGGGTATTCCGGAATGGACGCACACCGTTCCCCGGGAGACGTTAGATCAAGGCTTGAGATGCTCTTCAACAAAAATAGGAAAACAGGACGCCGAGCGTCGTCGATCACGGTGAGACGATAAAACGTAACCAATTTACACGCGCGACTCCGAACTTCCCGCGGGTTCTCGAAGAAATATGCGGGACCTCTTAATTTCAAGTTTCGTAAAATCTTAATCTCCTTAACGTCTTCCAGAATAATTTACCGCGAGATTAATTAATGTTTCCCCCCGGTGAGTTTGCGTTTCCGTAATATCCTCCGCAGATCCGCCGACTGTTCCGTCGTGTACGCTATTTTCGGAACACCCCGTACGCGTCTTCCATCAACGGTCTCTGTACATCAGGTCGAGCGCCACTACGGGCGCTCCTAATTTCGCACAGTTCGCCAGTCTTAAACACCGAGTTAACATTATTATCACTACAACACAATCGCCTACGAAACCCGAAACGCGCGGGATCGAAGCGTTCCTCGATCGAGTCGAACGATACTCCGTGATCCTAAAATAAAGATGCAGTCGGTGGGTGAGCACGGATGACTTGAGCAGATTTCCGGGTCACGAGGGCGGCTCGTGACGCGTACGTATCGGGGATACCGGGGGGTGTAACGTCATTTTCAACGTCGTCGTCAACCCTGAACTGTAACCTAAGTAATCCGTCGAGAGTGATAAGAATGTCGTCGCTCCCGTTATATTGCACACTCAAAGAACAACAGGATCAATTTTGTATCTTCGCGACGTGATAACTCTCTCGAAACTTCCCAAAGTTACCGTCTGAAATGATACACGAAGATCTCTTACGAAAGAGAGAGAGAGAGAGAGAGAGAGAAAGAGAGAGATGGGTAAAATCAAAACAAACGCGAACGAGTTCGCAAATCGTCGCAACATTTAGGATCTCGAAGGATAATTTCCTCTGATTACACTCGCCTTCTCGATTCGCTTGTGAAAACCTCCGAGGAGTCAACGTGAACAATGAAATTTAATGAATTCAACACTTCTCAACGGATCCTATCGGAGGAGTCGTTTTGAGCACCGGTCACGTCCTTGTTTGTGACGCCCGAAGAAGCGCGCCCTCCTGGGGTCCTGAGACGCGTTTCACTCGATCGAGTCCGCCCAACATTGATCTATCACTTTAAGGATCACTCATACCACCTTTGGTTCCTTTTCAGCGCGAGCGAACGTTTCTCCTTGGAGCGAATCCAAGGAACGCCGTCATATTTCATAAGCGCGCGACACATCGTTTAAGTAAATCCGGCCGCCATTTTGTCATGTTCGAGACAGCACTCGGCGCGCGTTTGAATCGCGAGCCGCGTAAATTTTTCCAAGTCGATTTCTCCCAGAATGCGAACTTGCGCGGAAAACGGCGACGTCCTCCTCGGCGAGCACACCTGCGTCGTTCGTCGTCCTCCGTGACTTCGATTTCGCAGCGACTGTACACCGCAGCGAGAGAGACGTTCGAGACATGCCTTCTGATTAATCTATTACGTCCCACCGCCGGAACAAGTCCTTTGTTCGCGCCGTCTCGGGCGGCTCTGTTCCGCCAATCACATCCTGGACCCTGTTATCCCTCGCGAATTAATCTGCTGATGTGTGACGGGTACAGATTCCCTCCTCGAATGGTAATTCGGCTCGTTCGCAGTAGCTTCGTTAAGACCGTCGCACTTGTCGACGTCTGAGAGACGCGCGAGAAATTCGTAAGAATTACCTCAGAGCGTTTCCACAGAAATGCCCAGGTATCAAATCGGGAACGGATTTCCTTTTCACGCGAGAATCGCGGTGTTTCGCTTACTCGAAAACGCGTGTTTCGTGCACGGGAACTTGCTTGAACGCTTCGTTTCCCGCGAATGAATTTTCTTCGTTTCTTCTGTTTCCTTCTGTCATACTTGGAATGAGATTAAAACGGTTCCGAAGTATTTGTGCGATGCATATAAATCACTTTGTTCTCTCTCTCTCTCTCTCTCTCTCTTCGGTGGCACCGTTTTCAATCAAGACGAGGCAGTAAATGACGGCGAGGATTCTTCGAGGAAGATCAGCGTGCAGTCGTCGAGAGACTAACTACCCCACTACCGGAAAACTTGAATGGCGTTACACTTTTCACAGGGTTTTATCGGTCCGAGAAATTCCTCCTTCCCTCTCTCTCTCTCTCTTCATTCTCTTCGAGGTAGAGTCGTGGAGGAATCGAAAGCCGGCCGTATTGTTCACGAAACTTGAACGATACGTGAAAAGTTCCGGGTACCTCGTTCACTACACATATTCGCCGCGCGCTCTTCAGATCTACTCGTTTCCCTCGTCGTCACGAAGCTTTCAGACGTCCATAGCGTCCCCCACGTAGCCTTCATCAGGACTCTCCGGGTGATTCGGCGGTTGGAGCTCCTCGGCACGCGCGACGGCCGCAGCCGCGGCCTCGCGCGCGGTCTTGCCCAGGAGGGACCTCGGGGACAACGGGGTGGTCTCGCCTCTGTAAGCTGCCGGCGGTGACGGTATGAAGGGTACTTCCGGGAACATGGCGACCGGTGAGACCGGCGACACCGGCAACTGCTGCTGAATCGGCTGCTCGACCGGTTGAATCGTCTGCTGCGACTGCTGCTGCGCTTGTTGCTGATGTTGATGCTGCTGAAGCTGATGTTGATGCTGATGTATCGGATACGGGTAGCCCTCGATGGTGTACCTGGCGTCGGTCCTCGATAAAACAGGGTCGTATCCCGGCGATCTCGCTAGGAACTCCGCTTCCCGGGAGTACCTGGCCGGAGGCGCGGCGGCCGAGCCCTCCGTCATCCTCTGCCGGAGCCTCGGTAAGGTGCTGGCGGTGCTGAAGGAAATTTTCGGCAGGCCGAAGTTCAAGGGGTATCCGTCCTGGTCGAGGTAGTTGACTTGCGGGAGGACCGGCGGTGGTCTCAAGTCGGGCTGCAGCGGGTATCCGGAATCGTATTCCAGTATCTGTCGGTCGCCGGCGCCGGCGCGCTGATGATGCCGCCCGTACAGTTGGCCGTAGCCCACCTCGGTGCTCTCGGGCACCTCATTGATCAGATCCGGTTCGGTCAGGTACTTGGCGACTGGACTGGCCAGATAGGCGTCTCTGTCCAGGTTGTTCCTGGAGTGTTCGAGGCGCTCGAGAGTGGTCGCTCGGTTCATCTCGCGCTCGGTGTAGGAGACCATCTGCTGATGCTCCAGGCCGATCAGGCTGCCGTTGCCCTTGCGGCAGGACACCCCGCTGGTGGTGTCCTTCGTGATCGGCAGTACCGACTTGCTCTGCGTCACCAGCGCCTTGGAATTCCGCTTGCGGTCGCGACGGCGCTTCCTCGCGCAGTATATCACACTGCCCACCAGGCAACCGAGGGCGAAGAGGGTGCCCACCAGCGCACCGGCTGCTATCGCCGCGACGTAGCCGGACCCGGGATTGTCGTACGGCGGCTCCACGGTCGGCTTCTCGCGGAAGAGCACGCGCAGGGAGAGATTCGCTTCCGCGGAACCCGCGCTGTTCTCCGCGACGCAGCTGTAGGTGCCCTCGTTGAACGTCTCGACCGAGTAAAGAAACAGGGTGCTGCTTACGTTGGTCCCACCTCGCTCCCGATAGACGCACCTGCGAAAGAGAAGAGGAAACGTAGGGATTAGGTGAAACCGTACGTTTCGCTTCTTACTGCGCACACTGTGCCTCGTGTACGCCTTTACCGTTCCCTAGATCGGGAATTCAACGCTTTTCAGCCTTAACGGGATTCCGGAATCGCGTAGGAACGCGATGAAAGCGCTCGTCTCGTTTAGCGTCTCGCTTTGACCGCGCAGATTTCGATATCCTTTAGCACGACTCAAGTCACATATCGAGATGAACCGCGCTCTGGTAGGTTTTAATCCAGAAAACGCAGAACAAATTTACACACTATGCGGACTCGTGCAAATATGTGCTTCCCACGTTGTGGACTTCGCGGGTACAAAACATCAGGTCGCAGTCCGGGAAACATTAAAAAGCAACACTGAGCCGTCAGAAATAAGTTTCGGTACCTAACATAAGAGTGAAGAGTGCAAAATCGCTACTATTCCATACATTTGCCGGTGATTTCGGTTTACCGACGGGTTAAGCGAAGCAATACGTAGTTCCTCGGTTTGTGGAGAGATGGCGCCGAGAGCGAGTCGAGTGTGACACACAACACAGGGACAATTTTGGCGTAATTGCACAATAGTCAACTGGCGAGAGGAAGTCAGACAAGGCAAGGATGTGTGTGTGTGTGTGCACGCTTTATCGAAAGGACGAGTCCAATTGGGACACCGGAGATCGTCGCTCACCTCGAAGACGCGGAAGCGCCGTTCGCCAAGGAGTTGTTCTCGTGCTGCAGCTCGCACGGTCCCCCGTTGAACCACCATATTACCTTGGCGCTCGGTATCGCGTATACGTCGCAGCGTAGAGTGACGTTCCCACCTTCGTAGACCTCCAGATGATCCTGAATGTCGATACGCGGCAGGCAGGCCAGCTCGTTGATTTTAAGCGCCTTGATCTGCCGGCCGCGCAGCCTCGCCGGTGAATCGCAGACGGGCTCGGATTGCTGCGGGGCGGCCGCCGCCGATTCCTTCAGCCAGGCTTGCATAACTCTCAGCCGGCAGTCGCACTGCCACGGATTGTTGTGCAGAGTCAATCCCCGGAGGTTACCCCCGAACGGCAGTGTGTGATCAGGCACGTGGCCGAGTCTGTTGCCGTTCAGCCGGAGCCATTCGAGCGACTGCAGACCTTCGAAGGCGTCCTGCTCGACCACCTCCACCATGCAACCGCTGATCTCCAGTGTGGTGAGCTGAATCAGCCGGCGAAACGCGCCCTGGCGAATCTCCCTGATCGGATTACCGTTCAGTATGAGCCTCATCAGGCTCGGGTAGGAGCCGAATGTGTTCGTGGGCACCTCCTCGATCAGATTCTCCGAAAGGTCGAGCTCCACCAAGCCAACCAGGCCGACGAACGCCTCCGCGGCGATACGGCTGATATGAGACCTGCCGAGGTAGAGCCGCTGGAGATTGATCAGACCGAGGGCGTGGAAGCACTCCGGCAGCAGACTGACTAGATGATTGTCCGATAGGTCGAGCACCTGCGTTTCCTCCCGGGCGCCCTGCGGTAACCCCTTGAGGCCGCGGTTTGCACACTCCACCCACTCCTTCCCACCCTTCCATTTACACACGCACATGCTCGGACAGCCCTCCGCCGCGCCCGCCACCCACGACAGCAGCAGCAGTATGCCGGGGATGGTGGCCCTCCGTCGCCAGGTCGGCGCGATCGGGCACATGGTGCTCCCCGTCGGCCGATAAAACCCCTTTTCTCCTCTTCGTCCTCGTCGTCCGCTTCCGAGGGGAGAAAGGGAGGAGGGAGAGCGAAAGGGCAAACGAGAGAGCAAGATAAAGAGAGCCCAAATCGTATTCCGAGCGTTCCTATCCTATTTTTCGCTGACCCACCACCACCCCGGCGCTGACCCCTCAGAGTTCCTGAAGGGAGACCGCGGCGGTGCTTCGATCGAGTCGACGCGTCCGAGACGAAATTGCCGGCGAGGAGGTCATCGGCGTGTGCGACCGCAAAAGGCGGCTCTCTGCAACAACAAAACAAATCATTGATGAGCCCCGACGCGCTGCGGATTAGAATGCGCGATTAATATCAGCCGAGCTTCCGAATCATTTGCAAAGGTCTCACCGACTCGGCTTTAATCATTCAAGCGCGGTAATTAACGTATGACTGATCAAAGGAGAGGGGAGGGGGGGGGGGGGACGCACATACCTAGTCCATTTCCCAAAGAGGAAAAGAAGCTATCTTGCGGGCTTACATTTTTCACTGATCCAGCTATACCGGTGACGATAATCGATTATGGGATTTCACTTCCCGTCGACGAAACAAAAGGGCTATTAAGGTGGCCCCCCCCCCCCCCCCCCAGCTGGATCAGAACTTCTCCCTTGTCTACGGGGTCTCATAGAAAAACGGCCGGTTCTTCCGCGGAGAAACTGCCGAAACCCCGGCGAGTTGGCCTCCGAGGGTTTCCATTGCAGTGTAACGAATGGAAGGCCGGCGCACGTTGAAAGCAGATAATAAATTTCATGAAAGGGGTGTGTGTATCTCGAGAGGAGGCGAGGATGTCGCGAGAAGAGAAACGCTCCCGATATCGGAATATCGAACGCACGCGCGTGCGCGCTCGCGTGATTACATACTTCGGATGCAAACCCTTCGTCTCTTTCTTTTCGTAGCTTTATCTCGGGACGTCGAACGAGACTTCTCCCTTCGCGCGGAATGCAGGGGATGGATGCCGCCTCTGAAGGATATTGCCGACCCCGGGCGTTTTGAATCCAATATCAACTGGCCCGCCCGCAACTGCACGGGTTGCATGTTTTTTTCTCCCCTCTTCTTCTCCCGCACTCTTTAAAGTCGCGCCGAGGACAGCGGCGTCCCGTTCGGCGGAAAACGCAAACGACGCAAGATACAATCTTGACGCACCGTTCCTCCCCCCCCCC